TTTTAAGATTCTCTGCAAAACCAAATCATTTACAATCTTTTTCAAATAAATTTTGTTATATAACTATTTCCTAATCTTTCCTTAAACATATCCTAAACTTTCGTTGTATATAATATCTTTGATTTTCTACTTTCTCTCCAAGATATTATCAAACTACCTTAACAATAAACTTAGATGCCTACCTACCCTATAAATACCACACTTTTACTCGACTAGAAGACTCATCAAAAAAATACCTCTTCTTACCCATTCCAATCTTTATTTGTTATATGAACTTTCATTTTTCTGATTCATGAATTTAATAAACATTTGATGTCTTGCGCAGATAATCCTATACAAGATGAGCAACCCATTGATGATTGCCATTATCAAGAGCATATGCTTTAAATTTACGTCAGATTCTTTCATATGGTTAGTTTTTTTTATTCACCCTATTTTTTCTAGGTAAATCTTCATGTTTAATGATAATCTTAATATATATATATATATATATATAAGATAACTACAGTTTGATAGCATTGATTTTTAAAAAACTTAAAAGAAAAAATAAAAAACGAAAATACAAACTATAAAAAAGTCTAACTTTATTAAACGTTTTAATTATTTATAATATTATAACTTTTATGAAGTTTCAAATATTATAAATATTTGAATTTTATAAGAATTTATAAGTAGTTTAAACATTATAAATATTTATAAAAGATATTAATACGAGACGGTATACTACGGGTGAAATCCTAGATATAACAATCAAAATACAATTATGAAGTTTGGGTCGTATTAAAACTTTTATGAAGTTTCAAATATTAGAAATATTTGAACTTTATAAAAAAAATTACAAAAATGATGTTTAATTTCACGGGACGGGGTTATATAGTGGGACGGATTTAGATCGATATTAATACGGGATGGTATATTACAGGTGAAATCCTAGAATTAGCGATCAAAATACAATTATACAATCTTAAACACTAAATAAAACAAATACAACTTAAATTTTGATTTTTTAGTTATAAAATATTGACATGCGGTTTACCATATATCTATAGATCATTCTAAAAAAATCATTTTTTTATTTAGGGAAAATATAGACCCGCGGTGTACGCGGGTTAATATCTAGTATGGTCGACAATTTTCTTGCATTGAATTATGAAGTAGAGGAAACTTATCAAATAAATGTTTGCTTCATATTCTTATCTAGCTATCTATATCAATAATGATAGAATTGGAATCAACTGGCATTTCGTACCATGTAGACATGTGCAAGAAATTTCTAGGAAAGTACATACACTTGCTCGTGAATGTGACTCCTTATTCTTATCATATGACATATCTTTATATAAGACTCATAAACTACTCACTTTTTTTTGGTCGTCGTCGTAAATTACCTATATTTTTAAGACTACTCGATTATAAGTCTAAGGGTTTGAGTAATCCCTAAGTGAGGCTATTAGTCATTTTCCTAAGTTGGTACACCAAATTATGATATTATTTACTGCCGAGAAAATATGGAGACCTCTCATTACATATATGGATCAATGATATTATGCTACAGTTCAAAAACCATTACTAATTGGCAAAACTAAAAAAAATTCTCGGCCCAAAAATGTCGTTTTCAACAAAGCCTAACCATGCCGTTTTCAACAAAGCAGAACTAGAACAAAATAAATGTCAACAGTTAGGAACCTAATTTAATTGCTCGTGGGCCTCTTAAGATCGGTCTATATGAATGAAGTTTGTTTTCTTCAGAGCCCAACAAATCAAAGCAACGGACATGTACTATCAAATCAGGACCAATTAACCAGGCCCAGTAATCTCTTTACGTATCGTTGTCGAATACGATTTGAAAATCCCCAAACCAAAGATGTTTTTTAAGATTCAAATAATCTTATGTAAGTGTATGTACTGTATATCTTTAGTAGTTTGCTTTACTTTGGTTAGTTGGTATGAAAGAAAACTTACTAAAACATAAAACCTAGTTTCATTTGGTTCCTATATAATGGGTCTGGTTGGGTTTGATTCGTATTCTCGAACAAGAAGAAAACCATAAACGACGCAAAAGTCGATCTGAGAAAAATTAACGTTAATAACATAAAATATTAGTACTAATAATCTTGTGATTCTGCAGTTACTTGTCGTAAATGATGTGAAATGTCGACTTTACGTCTAAGGGTTTATGTCGTAAATGATGTTAATTAATCCCACAAACACACGCCCGGGAAGAAGTAGACCAAAGGCGGTAACAACCTGGCTACAGAGCTCTCAGCAAAATGTTAATTTATGTTTTGTGATTCTATTATATCACCATTTCATGTATCGTGTGTGTATGTAATATATGTACGTCATTCCATCATTTATTAACAACATAACGCTATTATACCATATTTTTAAGAAAAATAAATAAATAATTTAACAGTTTCATCATTCTGTTCCGATCCACAGATTGTTAAAAATAATTTGATTACTACGCAACAGCAAGAATGACAACCGCTACACTTTTCTTAGCCAAAAAAAGAAAGAAAGAAAGAAAGAAGGACTACGTAGTTGAAGTAACACCAATCAATGATCTATAAACTGTTCCAAAAACATAAAATGTACAACTTCAATCGTTGTAATCATGTGAACCGTCAAACTATGAATCCGGTCTGCAGAGTCGGATGAAAGACCTGAAGTGATCGTGATTGGTGATGTGGAGTGGTGACTATGATTTGTGAAAGGTGATTGTGATTTGTGAATGGTGGTAATTGTACGTGAACGTTGAAACATAAGTATAAACATTTCGTAAGTTCGAATGTTATACTGCCACATTGAAAAGTAAAAGAAATGGAGGGACACTGTGTTAGTTCGGCTTTTCGGGCACAGAAAAGACATGGACATGAGAATGTCCAACGACAATGATTTTGAGATTTGAATATCAAACCTTATCTACTGCCAACAAGTCTTGATGGTATATGGGTCCAACAATTTCCCAAATTTAATCAAATATGTCTTCTTACTAAATAAAACTAAACCGGAAATCAAAATTGTTTATTAGACACAGTTATCAAATTTCCATCTCATGAGGATACTATTTTTTTTTTTTCTTTCATCGCAGTAACTTTCTTACAATTCTATCATTTATTACACTCAAAAACCAGATTTAAATACCAACTAGGTTAAATCTCTAAACATATGTGACATAAAGTCATTAAAATATATATTCATTTTAACAAAATAAAGTGAGATCTAGTAATTTCTTCGAGTAGAAGAAGAGTCGTGATGTGGATCTACTAGACTATAAAACCAACCCAACGATCAATGAAAATTGCAAAAAATTACTTTGGGTACCAAAAAAAGAACAACCACCGTGTGGGAATATTCAATTATTGTAATGATTTTGTTTTTAATTTGGAAAATGATAAGATCTGGAATAGTACGTCTCGAATCTAAAGAAAGAGACAGGGAGGGTTTTTTTTTTTGGGCTTATCCACCAGAAAAATATGAAATGTGACAGCCAAACACCTGTCCACTTGTTCTTGCCTCTGTCCCTTTTATCATGTACATGCGATTCCAGTAATTGTTATTCAAGTTATACGACTTGTTCCACCAATACATATTATAAAATATCTGTAATAGATCTTACCTAAATCATCAAATACGGAAAGTTTCTAGTGCATTTAAGTAAGATGTTGAAATGTACCGGCAGTTCTGGATATGTATCAAAGGATACCAAACAAAGTACTAATAAACTATACTTGTATATAAAGTTAGGTATTGAGTATTGACTATAGACTATAGTAGTAATCCATTCACTGATTACGAAAAAAACTAAGAGTTGAAACATTGTCAACAAAAAAAGAAGAGTTGAAAGAATATGAAGATGTATTTACAATGGTATCAACTAGAGCAACTAGTGGAAAAAGGATATGATATAATATTAGAGGTATACACTTGGATGGTTTCATTTTTCAAATTAATAATTAGACTGATTCTCTAATTGTATAGAGCAGCATCGGATATCTAAAGTATTGAATTTAACATCTTATTGATATACCTAACAGTGATAATCGAGATTTATTAACATAGTGTTAAAGTAACAAACATCGATCTGGTACCCTTTTTTTTGTGTAAGGATATACAGAACACATGGTCCATGGACTACGTCAGGATTGAATATGCTTTGTTTAAACCTGCAAATTTCTTTGGACCTAACAAAACTAAATGAAATAGGTTTACAGATTTTTGGTTCGGATCTCAGTTTATATGTGTTACATAAGTTATAATAGTCTTTGGCATAGTATGTGTTGAATCGAACTTCAGCGATTAATTAGAATAATCTCAAAACCAGGATCTTCTTAATTTTTATGGCTTCGAAAAATATCAAACGAAATGGAATCAAAGTAAAAGATACTCGAATATGCAACCGAGTAAGAAGATTAAAACCAAAAAAAAAAAAAAAACAGTAAGAAGATTCATTCCTATACCTTTTGTGGACACACAAGTCTATTCTCAAAACAAGTGGACGTTAACGATACATAAATTGTGGCTCTTCGGACCACAACAATTTTTGTAGTCTACATCATGTCAGTCCAGCTAAGACGTACAGCAATTCTTTGGCCTCATTCATATACATAAGCCCTCTTATCAATCACTCAAATACATAGTAATTTCCCAACAATTATCTAACATATTTCCTGTTGAATCTTGCGGTAAAAGTAAAACTTCGTAAACCATAGATTTCTCGAATTTAATATATTCATTCGTCTCCACATTTTATACAAGTTACAACTTAATTCATATAGTAATTTTTACCCATAAATTGTTTATGGTTCAATGTTGTTACTTCGGTTAAAATTTATGTTTCGAGTAAAAAAACAAAATTGTGGTGCTTAATTATTTCTTGAACACCATAATTTTATGATTAGAGAATCTATTGTTATGGCTAGGATTATTATCATTGGCTAGGACTTTATACTCGAATTACTAATAATTTAAATGAACAAAAAGAATAGTAAACAAAGTCGCTTAAGAATAACAATCTTTTATTAAACAATCCAACAAATTATATACAATGAACAAAACTCAGACGAGAAAATAATGATCTCAATGAAAATTGACCAATGTCACCACCACGAGAGGGGCAAAATCACAAGTCTTTTTTTTTCGCCGGCAAAATCACAAGTCACAGGAGGAAATCTGCAAAACCCTCAACACCGATCGAGGAGCAAACAAATAAATGAAATAGATAACAATTTTCAATTTCTCCTCTGTTTCTTTTTTGTAGGTTTTTTTTTCTTCTTTTCATTCATTTTCGCATCACTCTATTTGCGTTACTTCAATAATACAAGACGAGACGACGGTCGCAGGAAGAACAAGAGTATTTGCGTTTGACCTTGAAACAAAGTGGTAAGAAACAGAACAACCACTTCGTCTCTATGTCCACCGCCGATACTTTTCCGCCACAGTATGGACACATACCCGGTGCTTGTTGTCGACCAAGCTCCGTCTTCTCTTCATGATACACAACTTCCAAACACATTTTTGTTTCTCTTTTTTTTTTTACTCACAATTCTCGGACCTTCTTTGTGTCTATCTTTATAATGTTTCTAGGCTTGTCTTTCTTCTTTCTGGTATGTTAGCTGAGAAAAATCTAGAAGTGTGGAGAAGAAGAAACGAAAACGATATTTTTATTACTAAGAAAGGAAACAACTTTTTTCAAGTGTAAAGATGTGTTTTTTGAGAAAGACTTGGTGTAGGGTTTATAGCACTACAACGACAATGTATTTATAGAAGATGGAATAGGGTGACGTGGGAAACTCTCCAACGATACATTATTTTATTTTTTCTTTAAAAATTCTGGAAGTCTTTTGTAACCAAAGTTTATAAGGTGTAGAAACTATCTGTTGATGATATACATAAGTGAAAAGTTTCACGAAACAAAAATCAAATATTGCCAAACAAAAACTTAAGTCGACAAGAAGATGGAAACAAAAACCTCACTCGTTTTTAGAGTTTGATTGCTTAACAGACAAGTTTAATCTTATTCTCAGGTTTCAAAACAAATGAAACAACCTAACTAAACTAGGATTCAAGACTTTGTCTCATAACAACAGAATTTAGCAAAAACCAAGATGGATTCCGAACTCAATTGCCATAGAAACTCTAGTAAAACTGTTTACACAAATTTTACAGACCACAGAGTTAGTTAAGTGGGAAATTGCTACAAATACTATAAAGTTTCGGATACATCCATAGTACAATACAAGAGCTAAATTAAGAGTGTACCGTTAGTTTCGTCCTCCCAAAACATTTGAATTTCACATTTCATTATCTTCTGTACAAGTATTTGGCTAGTGGAAAGCTGAGGCTTTTCGCAACCTATAAACACATATCAGAGGAAAACAAACAACAACAGGTGCATCAGAATTTTCTTTGTATCATTCTCTGTTATAAGAATTGAGAATTGCAAATAAGGTGTTACCTTCAGAGCCAGATCTTCAGAGACCATAGAACGGTACCTAATAGAACCTTCTAATGGGCAGCTTCCGCTTTTGATTAAAAAGTTTGCATCACAAAGACTTGACACTTGCAGTAGAATATCAGACATCAGATTGTTATTCTCTCTGTCGTACCCCGTTGCGTCTTCTTCTTCTTCTCCTTCGTTCTCTTCGCCAAATGAAGAATCTCCAACAGAGGCAATACACTGGAATATCGCCATTAATCTTTCCAGTGGAAAGCTTCCAGGTCCTTTCATGACTGCTTCCTGTTCTGCAATTTCCTTCTTTTCCATTGATTTCTCAGAGGCCCTGAAAAATTGTGAAGAACAAATCAGATTATTTTATTAGAATGCATCACGAGATCACACCATCATTACCATTACATGCTTTTACTATACTTGTTATCAAACTCAGTGAATCAAATCTTATTCTACTAAGCAACACACCAAGAGAAAAACAATGACACTGTTTTTGATAACTTACTTCCGCTTTCTTTTACGATTATCCATGCCTCCTGTGGAGTCAAACATCGACGCGTCTAGCGTTGCTGGGTTTCTCGAAGCAAGAAATGCCGCAATAAGAAGATACTTTGCTGAAGTAGACATATGGAAGTCCAATATTTTAAGTTCTTCACGGTTTTCAGAACTGTAGCTGACTTTCTGCCTTCTCTCGCCTCTGGTTTCACCATCATGAGGGTGAGTGGAGACCCTGAATATATCATTTAAACAAGGAGCTATAAACGGTTTAAGATGGCTATACAGCCTTCTCTTCATGTCTTCATTAGGTGAAATCCCTAAATCATCAAGCGGTTCGCAATACTTTCTGAACAATGACGAGAAGGTAGTGGAAAGTTCCTCAACTCTCCTGGTGACTCTACAGAATGATCTCAACACAGCGCTGTTTGACACCAAAAACTAACTCAGTAAATAATATGAATAAAGAATAGAGAAAACTAGTAGGGAGGCAAGAATGCATATAGCCTTACTCGAGGAATGCAGAGTACAGTTTTGGGTTAGCTTGATTTCTCAAGAAAATTTGACGAAGATCCTCTTCAGAATACTCAGGGAAAAGAAGAGGTATAGGGTCTGTGTATCCCATGTTTGAGTAATACACATCTGGTGGCAATCCGCTGATAAGTACTATACCAAGTTGAGGCATCTTCAAAACAGAATCCAAACTGAAAAGAAACTGAAGAATCATACTCCCTTTGTCCCAGTCTTTGATAAGATCCACATTATCAAGTATTAAGTACACCATCTTCCCCATGGGTTTTTCATCTGGCTTATTTAGTCTTGAGGTTCCGGAAGCAGACTCGAGAGTCTTTATCACATTACTAAGGGCTTCACGAACCAAGTTGACAAAATCAGATGGCTTGTCACATCGTTTCGCACTAGAATACCCGTTTGAAGAACATTTCCTATGTAGCAACAACTGATTCAGGATCGACTCAAACAAGATACGCGGATTGTAACATGTACGACAGCTTGAATAAACAAAGGGGCGATTGAGATGCCTGAGCACCTGAAGAACAACACTGGTTTTTCCAGTAGAAGCGCCTCCATAGATCATTATTGGAAGAGTAGGGCAATCCAACGGGCCCATAAGTCGAATAAAGTCGAAAATCTGAGAGCGTCTGCCAGGAAAATCAGATAGAACAGCATCCAAAGTGATTGATTCATCCCCAAATGTGAGATCATCAATGGTTGGTGGGTGGGATTCAATAGGTTCTGGGTTCTCAACAGTTGCAGAAGCTGATGACCTAGTGCTTCTTCGAGTGACTTTCGAACTCTCCTCTTTCGGCATGTTCTTAAACCTGTGTCAAAAGGAAACAAGACATAGGTGCAAAAGGGAACACAAATTCAGCAAAATTAAAACAGTTTACACAATAATGTAAGTGATACCATCTCCAAGGCTACTAGATACATAAAATCAATTTCCAGAATTGAAAATGAAGCACCATTTACATATATATAGCTATATCAAATCAACTTCACATCATAGCAAAAAATGCAAAAGGATCTAACTTTAACCAATTTTGTGTAAAGATAAACCGAAGCATAAACATTATAATTCCCCAGTTCTAGAATTCAAACCCTAAAGTAGAGTGCTTTTTCTCAATACAGTAACACAACAGCAAGAATTGGAACCAAAGAGCAGGATAAGAACATAAAGGTTGACGAGACACTAACCAGCGATGTAAAAAGACCAACTTTAGTTCGATTAAACTCGAAACAAAGACAAAGAATGTTGTCGTGCTCTGTGTGCGTCAGTAGTGGCGATTCACAGAGTACCACCACTTTCTCTCTTCTTCGTTAGCGCCGATTTCATGTTCGTTTCAGTCTTGTAGTCGAAGAAGCCCTATAGAAAAAAGGCCTTTAAATTTTTTGAGGCCCAAATAGATTAAGTGGCTTGTTGTGTGGGCCAGGCCTACTTGTGAAATACTCAGTTAAACCCACGAGTTTAATTATATACTTGAGTATATAATTATATAGCTGTGTTTTTTCAAAGAACAAAAACACGTAAAGAAATTTATACTACACTTGGGCTCAGTCATATGAATTCTGGCAAAAAATATCAGATCAAATTCGGCTAACATTGATTAAGAGTAAATTTTACATAATTATGGAATCTTTTTTCCCAGTTATTGAGTATGATTTACAAAATTCGGCTTTAATAAGTTTCAAGTTTCCATAAGAAAAGTTTCGTTATAAAAAATGGCTAGTGGGATTCGTTATAATTTAACTCGTAGTAGCGTCGTAGGACAATAGAGAGCTTTTTCTAAATTATAATATCTGATTATCTTCAACTTTATTAACTTGAATAACCGATATTATAAAAATGAGTCCACTACTGGGATTAAAATATTTTGTTTTATCAAACAATGTTTTTAAAACGGGAGAAAGTGGCCATTTCCGCCGTCTGATACAAATATTGTGACTAGTATTATTATTACACCTTTTTGGTCAAAATTATTTAAATTTACTTTTGTTTCTTTAATTTTTTCGAAGAGTAAATACACACAAAAAGTTGGGGTTGGTTTGTAGTGGATAGTATGTGCCTCCACGTTTAATCGAAAATTGAAACCTAGTATTCAATAAATTAGAAAACGATTTTAGTCCATTATTTCGTTTTCTATAATATTTAGTCACACAATATGGCATTTTTATTTAATAGTGATAATGTGCCTATATTTTATTTTGTAAGAATAACTTTTTTTTATTTTTGTGAACATTTTTGTAAGAACAACTAACTTAAAATCTCTACAAATAATTTTATTAATACACCTTCATATTCACAAACACACAAACACACAATATATATATTAATCTACACTGAATTCACTACAAAGTTCAACTACTTCACATGCTGATACTACCACACTAGTCTCTTTTTTCTTTTTTTCGGCACAACACTACGCGCTACTCTTTTTTTTTATTGTCGACATCAGTTACCATATAAATAGATGTGAAGAGGAGTACTAATATCAGAAGCTGTTTTATAGTGCAACGCATGAAAGGTCTACACGGTCTATAAACTAAACTTAAATTTAATTATACAGAAATGCTAATCATTGATATGACAATTGGTTTGCCTAACACATACATAATTGATAATGAGTTTGTAGGCATATATTATCCATTAGTATATAACAATTAGCAGTGGAGGATTAGATGGGCATGCAATGCAAAGGTGTTTTAGTGTCATAATTACTACATATATATAGACACACGAATATTGGGCCAACACTGTCTTGAGCCACTCTTTGGCATAATGACCTTTCCACTACAATATGACAAACAATATATTTAGTTCACATGAAAGCTTTAAATGTACATTTTCACTCAAAATAATCAGTTGAAGTGCTATTTTAGATTTTTTTCCTTTCTTTGGTGTACATTGTTAAAATGTGACAAAAGATTGTTGACCAAAAAAATTAGAAAAAAAAATCTTAGAATTTACAGTTGTTTGTAGAATCTGTAATAACCAGTTAAAACATATTGATCTATAACATCGATCATGACAGTAATCACTGAAGTAACATCACTCAGTTTTTAATACTAGATAGATACTCCCTCTGTTCCAAATTATAAGATGTTTTTGTTAAAAGCACAAAGATTAAGAAGTAATAAATGTTTATTTATTTATAAAAATTTAACCAATAGAAAAAAGGACAGCAGAATTCAAAAGGTCATAAATAAACTAAATAAATATAAATTATGCATAAAAATCTGAAAAAATCTTATATTGTGGAACAAGAAAAAAAGGCTTAAACATCCTCTAATTTGGAACAGAGAGAGTATTAATTAATGTTGAAGCTAATGCAACCATATTGCAAAAGATGAGAAATTTTGTTTTGGGGAAAGACGATATTTTTTTCTTTTTTGGGGGTCAAGCAGGGGAATATATCTTAACTTTAATCTGTGATTTAAAAGTTTGGATCAAAGAAGACAATCTCAAAGAAGAAAAGAATATTAGTACACCAAACGATGTAAAATAAAAATTGAAATATTGATTAAAATTATACGAAAGATAATGGAATGAAAAGGTGATAACACTATTCTTAAAAAAAGCACATTCTATCATGAAGCGAGGCAACTTATGTTTACACAAAGAACAATGTGGTCAAGTTCCACTTTTCTTGGGTCATAATTAGTTTCTTCTGTTTTTTTTTTTTCCTTTTATAAAGCGAAAAAATAAGAAAAACAATAACAAAATAAGTAATATTTATATAATTCTAAAAACAGAAATTAAACCAAAGCTAATCAACAAAGGAAACTTGGATTCTGTTGGGTAGACAAGAACCCATGAATCCTTCTTCCTCGTATACCTCCCCTTGGTCAATCATATCTATACCCCCCAAACATAGGTCAATTACACTTATGCCCTCTTTCCCGCCGTTTTTGACCGTTACTAAACCCCTTTCAAAAACCTCTTTAACCCACTCTTCAAACAAACCGTTAGCAAAAAAACCACAACCTTCGTAAAACTTCTCTATCAGTTCCGCATCGACGGTAAACCCGAATCTCTCTTCTCGTTGCCCCAGGATCTCCTCGCATGAATCTTTGATCTTCGCCACGAAGAATTTAGTTATATCTTCGTTTGACAAAACTGTGAAATCAAACCGGTTTTGGATTGAGTCTAGAAAACGTTCTTCAAACCCGCTTGTGATTTGAGTGGCTGTTTTAGCCTCTTGTTCGTCGTCATCATCAACTCTTAAGTTGAGGTCAAGAGCATTAGATTCGAATTTCAGCTGTCTTGAGAACTCTTTCTTGATGTTGCTTATGTCGCAGGCGACATTGCTTTCGTCATCCTCGTCTTCGATTCTTGGATTCTTCTTCTTAATCATCGTTGGTGCAGCATCAAAATCTGGTTTCCTCTTGTGATTGACCAAACCAGAACCCGATTTGTAACACTTCAACACTATGGGTATGACAAAATGTTCATTCTCTACACATTCATCATCTTCTCTTGTCAAAAGGAAGATGATTTGGCTCTTCTTTCCTTGAAAACCATCCAAATCTCCAGACTTTCCGTCCTCAAATTGATCTACGAGGAGTTTCATGAACTGAGTATCGGCTAAATCAACTCGCTCTATCAAAATAACAACCTTTTCCCCCTCCTTCAACGCGTTCTCAAGCTCCTCGCACGCTTCACTTGCCTTGGATGTTCTCAGATTAATCTTCAACATTTGTTTGAGTGATCCGAAAAGAGAAGTTGTCGTTGTGAGAGCCAATCTTCTTTTTGCAGTCACATCGTTTCCCGAAACAAGGATCCAAGCATCTCTCTTCTTACTCATCTTGAATGATTCTTCCATGGCAACAACGATTGAAGGAAGAACTTCCTTTTGCCATGGAATGTTCTCGTGAAGCTTTTCCAATAATTCACTCATTTTTATCGCTCTCTCTGGCTTTTCTTCATCCGAGTTTTCTGAATCAGATGGAAATGGAGAATGGCCAAGTGCAAGAGTGATCTTGGTTTCTACACGTTCATCAATGTTACTCTTGAATCCATCCAAACTCAATTCATCGGTTTTCTTTAGACCTTCTTGATGATTACTCCCAAAACTAAACTCGATAGTACACGAGTTCTGCCGTCTGAATTTCGCAACTGAACTAGATGCACGTGAGTTTTGCTTCAGACTCGAGTCCACAAAAGATCCCGGTAAAACAGAGCTGCTCTGTTCTGCCCTCCAACCGTAGCCTTGAGCAGTCATACCAGGTTTCTTGTGGTGAAGAGCTTGACAAAACCGGTTCCATTTCTTCCTCAGTCCACTTAGTTCATCCTGAAACTTAACCCACAAAGACAAAAGGATTATATAACCATAGAAACGCCGATAACAAAACAAAGATCATTCATTTATCAAAAAAAAGTTTGTACCTTTTGGTTAATGTTGTTGTTATCTCCATGAGGTTGCAGCCAAGGCGGTAAGATTTTATGTTGAGTTGATATAAAAGCTTTTGTTTCTTTTTCATAGTTAAAAGCACATTCTCCACAGAAATTGAGTTTATCTTCTTCCTCTTCTTCTCCTGCCGCTCCTTCTTCTTCTCCCTTTACTCTAAATGACTTCATCTCCATGACTTGAGAAGCCATCTCAGAACTGTGACCACTGAAGCATTAGGTAATTTAATATCACTAGTACTTAAGTTAGTGATTATGAATTTATGAATAGAAAATAATTATAAGAGAAGAGGAGAAAAACCTGGAAGCATGAAGGGTTAGCGAAAGTCCTCCTGAAGGAATTGAAACAGCTTGAAGAGCCCATTGAACATCAAGTGGAGGTTGCTTCATTTGACATCTCATGTATGTTTGGTAAGAAGCTGTCCCTAAGAGCCAAACTTTGGCCCCTAATTTGCTATAATCATAAACCAATCTCCCTATCTCTTCCACTAGATGATCCGCCGCACTGTAAATCGAAGAAGATGCGCTGTTACCGCCGCCCCAAACTGCCCAATCAAGATCTCCAAGACAAACGATCACACCTTTGCCACCCCAAGATGTGAAAGAATCAATCTTTCTCTTTAATTCCCTAACTTGTCCCTCCATATCCTCCTTCTTCATGAAATTCAACCCAACTTGTGAAAACTGAAACTTGATGAAATGGGTTTGTTTTAAATCATCTGGAACTTCTCCTCTCTCAATTCTACCCATGAGTTTTGCAACCACTCCTTCTGTCTGAGAAACAGAGTCTCCAACTATGACAGTGTTCCTCTTCTTGTTGTTCTTCTTCCCTAGAAGCACTTCGATAACCGGGTTTGCGTCTTCTCTCACGGGAAAGGCTTGATCTGGAGTAAAGGTCTTTCCTTTAGGGAAATGAAAGAAAGGGTTTTGCTCAAAAGAATGATGATTGGTCAAATGGGCATGCCACATCTTACTAGGGTTAGGGCTTAAAGTCCCTCCTCCTTGATTGTTTTCACTAGAAGAAGGAGAGCAAGGAGAAGAGAAGACACCAACAGAAGAAGAAGAGCCGTAGAAAACAGGGGAAACAACAGAGGAATCATCTTCTATGTTATTCTTGACGGAAACACTAGAGAGTCCAGCTTCTCTCATCACTCTACTCACACTAGGATCATCAAGAATCGACACAACAAGCTGCTCGAGCTCGACTTTAACCGCCAAGAACGGCTGGTTCTGCTGGCTTTGCTGCTGCTCCACACACCCTCTCCTCTGATGCGCCTGCGCTCTCTTCAGAGCCGCGACGAGAGCGTTGGAGAGTGAAGGCTGAGTCTGAAACAGAGGATTTGGGTTTGTCGGAAGCCTGTTGAGAGCAACATTGAAACAGAGCTCGAGAGCTCGACAATGGAGAGAAGGGTGAGCCATTTGGCGACCGATGGCAGTGAAAGGATTGGATTTGAGACATGCCCTTCGGAAAAGATTGGATCTTGAAGAAGTCAAAAGCGTCGAAGCAACGTGAAGAGGAGTGACTTGAGAATGGCCTCTCCTTCTTGCTAAGGTTAGAGATTGCTTCAAAACTGAAGCAGCCTCTGGTGTTAGTGTCTGGTGCACGGTATAAGCCCCTGTACGCATCACAAAACCACCCACCTTAAACCCTAAACCCCTCTCAAGAATCTATCTCTCTTTGCTGTGAAATTGAATCTTAATCTCCTCTCTACCCAGAAACAAACGGTCAAGACTTTGAAGTTTTTGAAAGGAAGAAAAAGTAATGGTGGAAGTAAATTTAGTGTTATAAAGATATATTTAGTCTGAGAGAAGTATCGAAGAGAAGAGGACAGAGCAAGTTATGAATTTATATTGTTTTCGATGTTGTTTTTTCTTTTATTAATTAAATACTATCATTTTCTTTATGGTTTTTTTTTGGTAAATATTATCATTTTCTTTATGGTTTTTGTTTTTTAATAAATTATATTCTCCTTTTGCTTTCGTCTTTTGAATAGTAAGGCAGCTTTCTGAAGCTTTTTTGAATTTCCCACTTCCTTCAAGCTTCGTTTCCCTCCACAGGTTCAAGTTAAAAATGTGTCGATCGAACTATATTATATTTCATCTTTTACAATATACATATGAAATATTGAGGGCCGACTTAATAATAGCTGAGGCCCAGCGAAATTTTTTAATGTTTGGTTATACTTGTCATTTTTACAAATACCATAGACACTTAAATTAATATGATAGAATTTAGGGCACTCTAAAGGATTTTTGCTTCTATTTTGTCTTTACCATAAAACAGTAGATATTTAGCATTACATGGATGAAAAGGTAAACTTCAATAATATCGACACATCTGATTGCTGATCTTGAGGAAGTTGGTGACTTATATCTTCTCCAAAAATTCCATATCAGTTATTTGATCTTTGTAGTGATATATCATAGGATTATGATGTATATGAAGGTTTTAAACCAGTGTGTAAATACTTTCAATTAGCATCTTTGCGTCTCCTTCAAACTCGGCTCTTTTCAATCTCACACTACACATAGGTTTGGGAAATCAATCTCAATTCATGCTCCTCTGGTTCATCATATATACAACCGGCATCGTTCATACATATATAAGGGTAATAATATATGTACATAAAATTTATAGGCATGGATTTTTCCTAAAATTATGTAAAATATGTATCTGGTCTGATCATGTGATTCAACAGATAGATTTTCACTCAGTTGAAATCAAATGAGGGCATGTTTGATTGATCTAGGACATTACTGGTCCTATACATCTCTAGTCATACATATGTGTGTGCTGTAGATCAATAAAACATGTCCATATCATTAACTTGATATATTTGTATGACCAAAGATTGAATTGCCGGATCTTTCTCATTATGAGAAAGCACTATTTCCGTTCCTAAAATACAACTTTTAAATCTCCCAATAATATATATGTATGACTATTGACTATATATATAGATTTGAAAATTATATTTCAAGTTGTGTGTTCAAGCAAATCTATGTGACCACACTGAAATATTAGGAACGGAAATAGTGCTCTCTCATAATGAGGAGATCCGGCAGTTGAATCTCTGGTCCATATTCTTTTTCATATTTTAAATTAAATTTAGTGATATTGAAGGTGTCATCACAAAGTTAAATTTGAGAAAGAGAGAACTATCAAACTTTTCCACTAATATTATGCTCAACCAAATGAGCTATCCAACGACATTATATCTTAATATTAGATAGTTTTTTTCTTTTATGTAGGGAATAGTTTCATATAAAGGAAAGAGTCATATTTAATCTTTTTGTTTAGTCTCTCTCAAATCTCGATCTTCCTAGAATTACAGAACTCAAAGAGCGTAACCACAAAGAAAGGCAACAGTTAATAATAAAGAGACGTGAAATTAAATTAACAATATATATAACAACATAAATTACATAAAAATTGAGGTGGTGTCACTGTCTTTGAGACTGATCTTTGAAGAGAGACAGAATTTCATTCTTCAACTCCTCCAAAAAGCAACAATCTGTCTCCCATCTTTCAATTTTCAAAGCACTAACTATCATCCCTCTCTCTCTCTCTCTCCCTCTCCCTATCCCTATACACATAAGATACATATGTGGGTATATATATGAGGTGAGCAAAAATTATATATCATCAATTACAAATTGGAGGAAAATGTACGTACTTTTAACAAAATATTTAGAACGCCCGTCCTCTTTTCATTTTAAAAAAATAATAATAATTAACGAAGTTACAGCATTCAGTAACATGAGTTTTACTATTAGAGCTGTTTTTTTTTTTGTATGATAATATTAATATATTAGATCTTATAAAAACAGGATCCATAATGGAATCTTACAAAATTCAGTTAACCGTGTTAGGTTTTATCTAGTTGAAACGTTTATGGCCAGATCCTAACAAAAAATTAGTTTCGCTTAAGATTTCTCGGTCAAAGTATATAGCTCGTGAATCAAGAAGTGTAAGGGAACTTTTGTGGGGTTTCAGGATTTATAACATTATAACTATATACATAAAGAAATTCAAAACATTGTATATTTCAATTGAGTGGGTTTTTAACTTATTGATTTTTGTGTCAATTAAATTTGTTTAAAGAACTTAAGATGTTGTGCATGTTGCCGAATAAATGTGTGATTGAAAACCTATAAAATTGCAAAATGACGATAATTAACAGGATTTCGCTTTCTCTCTCATGCAAAATCATTGTGTCATTACGTGGATTACTGATAATACCCTAAATTTGGAACCCTAATTAGTGTTATTCGGTTCCATACAGACAGTTGATCACATATTTGAACCCTAATGATTCATCTAATTTTGGATTTGCAAGAGAGTTTTTACAAAGATATGTAACTGCTATTCCTCGTAAATATTATTTAAGCCATACAATAATCTAATATCTAATGCTAATAGAAAAGATTTGGTGGTCCTCACTGGCGCGCGATTGGCGTCAGGATGGAAAAAACATTGCATGTTATATAGAATTTTAAGCTTTATTGTGTGACGCAGTTAAGTTTCCACAGACTTTTGATCATTCATGGTACTCGAATTATTACCACCTTTTTTTTTGTATCAGTAATCAATTTATTTTTACACAACATGTATACGTATCTCATAATCATTATGTCTGCTCCATCTCTCATGCAAAGGCTGTACCTCACGTACCAAATTATCTAATCATGTTTTAAAGTATTTCAAATTTTTCAATACACAGTAGTAAAATACTAATACATGTACATGAGATTATACAAGCTTTTCTTAGTCGTTTCTGACATATAGTTGCATAATCGTCGTAGTTCAAATATATTTTCCTTAGAACATATGTACTTATATATCATGATCGTTCATAATACAAAGCCACAAATTTCGATTAATAATACATTAAAATGTATATGATCGATGAATTCGATGTTGAAAGCTAAAATTAATTTGTTTTTAAGTGGAAGCCAAACATGTTACTTATAGTGGAGATTAGACAATTTTAGTAGTATTGATCAAAGTTGGCGGCCTATACTTAAAGAGATTATAAACCGAATTATCTAAATTTTATGATTAAACAAACGATTTGTTACGTCAATACTCGATCTTACGTCAGATTTCAGGTTGAGTCCAAATATGCAAAAAGAAATTGCAGATTGTAGAACAATTTTTTTTTTTTTTTCTGAGGGTTCAACATATGGTGCAAGTTGAACAATTTTCGGCCGTCGTCTAGTGTGCTGCAGATAATTGTTTCATTTGCATTTAGTTTACTTTTATCTGCCGAAAGATCAACCGATGGTAGATCTGGATCATCATTTTTATGGGAAACCACAGTTCAATATATAACCGATTTTGTATATGTATCAAATAACCGATTTTAAACTATATATACTGTATGTTACATAACCATAAATCTCGAATTATTGCAAGAAATGATATTAGAGAGACAAGTCGGGGACAAAAGAAAAGGACCAAAAGGGGGGTAAAAAAAAAAACTAAAGCAAATAAAAGAATAAAGAGGGAAGCTGTGAAGAGCTTTTGCCCCTGAAATCTAAGAGAATGTGATTAAAGTTACAGCTCAAGAGAAAAAAAAAAAAAGAAAAAAAAAACAAATAAAAGCAAAAAGAAAAGGTTATAAGAGAAATTTAAATAAAAGACGTATAGAAATGTCTGTAATAAGCTATTAAGTACTTTCACTTTCTCGTTTTCCTTCATTTTGTATGACTATATTCTGCATGCATAAAAACGATGACGTATTACCTGATCATTGCTGCCACATTCTTTCTCCGATCTCTTAGTTTCTCTGATCCCAACGAGAATATTTCTCTTTATTGTTTTTCTTTCGTCTCCTTTATATAAATCTTCTTTTTATGTGTAATTAAAGATTTCGTTTTTCAAAAGAAAGTAAATCTTCCAATGGTATAAAGGGTACAGCTTAGGGTTACTTTTATCAGATCGATTATCTTTTTTTTTTCTTCTTAAATCATAACCTCCAGGTTAGATTAAAGAAAATATAGTTAAAGTCGAATAAAAAAAAGTAAAATTAAAATTAATGCCATCATTAGGTTTTCAAAACTTTAGAGCTACTGTATTGGATAAAGAAAATTAGCTAGCTTGACTGGATATATTATAAATATATACATGAGAAAATTGGTAAATATATATTCGATTAGTCTTTCAGAACAAGTTTTAATTTACTATATAGTCATTCACCAAAACAAAAATGCAACATACATGCAACATACATTTTGGAAGAATTATGATTATTATTTCAAATACTTATAAAATAAAATGTAAACGACTTTACTTAACTCACTTTCTATTGATTAATTTCTTCAATATTTTGTAAACTTCTATACGAACTGTACGTATTCATTGATTTGGTCGATCAAACCAATTCAAGCGGTTTAATTACACATCGTGGTGTAAATGGTCCGGTTTATTATCCAACTTTACTAAATTACTTGGGCTTAAATTATTCAAGGGCATACTCAAAGCCCAGACAGAACTAGGCACGTCAGCAAATTTAAATCAACGCAATAATTATGATTATTAATTCCGCTTTCTTACCCTAATGATCTAATAAAGCTAATTACTTTAATATTTCTTGTCGACAGTTATATACTTCTCTAATCTCTTCTCTATTCGTTATATTATATGAACACAGGTAAATGATTTATAAATAACTTCAATCTATTTATTATGTTATATACTTAACATATTTTTTCAAATGAAAAAGGGAAGGTTAAAGTGGCTATATATACGATATTACGATAAGTAGTAGTAGTACAATGTTCAACTATTGCAGTCAAAAAAGCATTTTTAACCTTTTACATCTTTTATGGATAGTTTTCACTATTTTTATAACTTAAAAAGATGAAACTTTGGTTTCATATAAAATTCTTTTGATCATCTAGCGTCGTATCCAAAACTAAAGATCATATACGTATCTTTACTTTTGTTTTTTCGGGAACATTAACTTTAATTTCTATTTATCAGCGATCACCTTTGCTATGTATATGTATATCCCTCTATGTCTCAAAGTTAGTGATAAATGATTTTTGCAGAAGGATAAGGCGATGCTTACAGTGTAAAAATACTTCAATTACTAAGTGGTTAACATATTTAAACGTATATATTAGTTGCTCTAGTCGAATTTCTTTTTTAACAAAAATTGGCACAGACTTAATTCTGTGTGTCGAAAAGTATAGCAATAATGCCCAAAATATTATTTTCTTTGATACCAAACTGCCTAGTTTGATATAAATTTATATATTAAAAAAGGAAAATTAAAAGGGGAAACGAAAAACGGAACAAATCATTGGAGAGGATCGGTCAAAGAGGAATAATTAAGCTCTTTCTTTTTAACAAATTTTATTGCCATTCACTTTTATATTTGTCTTTTGTTGGGTACTGTTGAACGAATGTTTCTTTACTTCCATCACAAGACAAATAAATAACTCATATGTTGTAAGTGTTTCTTTATATTTTTAACTCTCGACTAGAAAGAAAATATCATAGTTACTTTACTCCAAATTTTTAGGTATATGAATTATGAGTAAACTTGATTGGCCACAGAAAATACGTAAATGTTATATATTACGATGGAATTTCTTCAGCTATTCTTTTTTTATTTTCTGTTAAAAAAATAAAGGAAAATAGTAGACGGCCTTCTTCAGCTATTCAATTCTTTTCTTCCAAATGAATAGTATAATATAATTATGTCAGAAATTTGTTCTTTCCTATATATGTATAGAGCTAGGCAAAGAAACCTGCTTTCTATACAAAATAAAAACTTTATTTTCTGAGTTCTTATGTGAAAACTGAAAACTAATGAAGAGACTAGAGTAAGAAACTGTAGTATAACCCTAAACTAAGTGGGTTTGAAATGAGAATACTTCAGGGATTTTAAAAAGAAATATGGCAAAACAGTAGTATAGCAAAGTTTCATTCTCATTTTCTTGATCTTCACTATAGCAAGTCACTGGATTGCAAAACAAAATAATTGATTTAGTAAGTGAAAACCTAAATAATGAAAGTAAAACCTTTATAAAAAATTGATAATGAAAGTAAACTATAAACCTGACGTAACAAAAAAAATTAGATGAAAATGTTATATATATATTTAAATAGTGATTCACTAATAAGAAAATGGAAGCAATTCCTCGAAATATGCTTAGCTTTTTTTTTTGGTAGGCCGAAATATGCTTAGCTTATTAATATCTGTTAGATGTTCTTTAGTTTAATGCAACAATAAATTGATTGCAATCTCCTCCAAACATTATTTGTTCATAACCGGCCGGTATAACATTTGATCTTGTTGTGTAACATCAATGCCCATTTTGATGTTCTCAATTCTAGGTTGTCCAAAGGTTATGAGATATGGTTCTAGTCCCCAAGATAGAATAAGAAACAAAAATAAACAGTTTTTATGTAATTATTTATGGCAAGTTTATTTGCTAATTTTTCTTGGACGTTTAAATTTCTTTGCTGATTCTTTATGTTATATTATTGATGTATATAGTCATCTAAACATGTTTATAATTTTAAATAAATTTATTTTGTATTAGTAAACTTAAAGGTCACATGCAAAATTTTTAAAACTTTAAATAAATGACTGAAATTCAAATTACAATTTACACCATTTTTCTTCACACACTCAAGACTAAATTTTGGAAACATTCAAACAGGCTAAAGGCCATAAAGCATCTTTGTCTGGGCCGAACTCAAAACATATCGCTGGTCAATACGTGTTTTCAGCCCAATATGTTTCTTCCATATTTAGAAATAAATAGTGAATTTTAATCAAATTGCTTTCTCTCATCGCGGGAAATTTTTTTTTTTTCATTTTGTTTGATAAATGGATTTAGTCGTCGAAGTTGGTTAACCGAAATCGTAACGTAAGATTGAACCGGATTTGGATTACTCGTTACACTTTTTCGTATCCTAGTAAACTTGAACGGATGTTGTTGCTAATACATAAAAGTAGTAGATTTCAAAATTTTATCTCTTGGAGTTGAAAAATTAACTGCGTTTTTCTTCTTCTTCTAGAAACCACATCCTCGTATTTTATAAGAAACGAAAGAATAATAATCCGACAATATTAGGAATGTTGTCACTTGGACCCAATTTCCATACATTTGCAATTACAAACAAGGTGGGTGAGTCATCCAGATTTATGAATCTTCCACAGATATAGTAGCTAAAAAGGGCTCTTAGCCTAATACTTATACTACTATAGAATATTAAAACAAGCAAAAAATTAAAGACCGATTATTATGCACATAAAAATTAAATATTAAGACTTTTTAATGAATTGAATTCTTAACCAAAACCATATCAAGTCATATCATACATTATCCTCTATACACGTGGTAACATACATAATAGCAAATAATTTTATTATAATCATCTTTGATCACCATGGTCATGTTGGGCCATCCAAGCCACGACTTTAGTAGTGTGAAAACAATATCATACGGAACTAAACACAGTACTGTTCATTTCATACAACTAAAATACAACTATTTTCTACATATTTTTCTCAAGTGTCCAATAACTGAGAAACAAATGGTTTGAGATACAAAATTCGATATCAATTTTGTCGATTTGTTTCTCAAACTAAGTTTATTCGGATAGAAGTAAAAACCTTTCACTATTGATAGATACTACCAGTACATTTTTTTTTTTTTGGTTCACAAGATAAACACTAGCTATATTTAGTTTGATTATACAAGATTAATTAATGTCGAACGAGTTGTATTGTCTAGTATGTAATAGGTAAGTCGTATGATTTAGTGGTCGTCTTTAGTTTTATATATTGATGTTTTCCATGTTTTACAAATTCTTGAAAGAACTTAGAACTCAAATGTATAATACATGACCATCGAGAAAAAATTATTCCCGCTATCATAAATAAAGTTTATTAGTGGTTTCACAACTTTTTCATTCAGTTGACATCACATCATTAAACAATCAATATTTATTTACTTACAAGTCAATAGAATAAAATTGCGTATGCAATTCGAAGAACTGGCTATATCTATGTTTGATTCTTATATACCTTAGATTTTGGATCATTCCCACATTATTCTGCTTTTCAGAGTCACATTTTGTGTTTATTGGTTGCATAAATAAGTTATTTCATAACAATAAATATCTATGGAAGATGGAGTTTTATAGATATATAAACACTCAAAAATCATAAGAATATATCCACAAATAATAGAATTAAACATAGATTTACTGCATTCAAATCAAGGGACATTAAAGAATCTCCTGGGCCCAACTGGGTTATATTTTCAATAAAATTAGCAAAAAAAGTTGACAATCAACTAATCATCACCATTATTGGCTATAATCATTACATGCGCATACACAGAGCCATGATGTCTACCTACGTTTGAAACTTTGAAATCTGAAACTACGTATCTTCTTTCCTTAACATATCATCTTCTAGTACTTTTAATGTCTCGTGATCCTAACAAATTAGAAAATAAATTGATTAATATCTATAATAAAAGAATTTTGCACTTATACTCAGATACTCTTCTAATACCTAACAAAACTAAAATGAAAATGGAATTGCACACCCCCTAAATTCAGTATTATACCCATTGATCAGTATATGAATCATGCATATTGTGAGTGAAAGAGATAGATAGATAGATACAATACACTTGTTTTTTTTTTATTGGACAAAAGGAATCAGATTTTGATCTCTAAATCGAACGGTCAAGATCGGATATAATTATTTCAGGAGATTAAGATCCCACGTGCTTAAAAACTCTCTGTCAGACTCTCTCTCTGTCTATAAAATTCTCGGCCCACTCTTGTTTTGATAGTACACTCAATAGAAAGACACAGAAAGAAAGAAAGGACCAACAAAAAACAAAACAAAACCTTCCATTTCAAGAAAGCATCGTCTTTGTGTGTCCGAAAAATGGATGATCTAGACCATGAGTACAAGAATTACTGGGAAACCACAATGTTCTTCCAAAATCAAGAACTCGAATTTGACAGGTACTTCCAGAATCTTGGTCAATTCTTTCCTTTTTCTTTTTCTAAATCTCTTTCTTTAGTTGGTAGTTAATGAAATTTTTTAAAATTATAAAATTTAGTTGGCCGATGGAGGAAGCGTTTTCAGGTTCCGGCGACTCGAGTTCGCCGGACGGCGCAGCAACGTCGCCAGCATCTTCGAAAAACGTTGTATCTGAGAGAAACAGACGACAAAAGCTTAATCAGACACTTTTTGCTCTCCGATCAGTCGTTCCCAATATAAGCAAGGTGTGATTTATTCGATTAATGGTTTCTCTTATTAGTTTAATCAACTGTCTCTTTTAATTTACTTTGTTATTCAAATAATTTAGTAATAAAATTTCGTCACCAGCAATTTTTGTTTTGGTCAACAGAAATTAAATAATCGAATAAACTTTTCTCTTCTTTCTTTTGGAAAGAAATAAAACTATACAAATACAATCTGGTTAAACCAAATCCAACCAACTTTAAACAAAAAGGCAAACCAAATTTTTGATACTCTAAATCCATATCAAGCTATACTAAAATGTATTTTGGTCCCCTAATAGCATATAATTGTATACGTGTGATGATTTGATTAGGATTGGATTTAATTAAAATATTAATATTTGTATATTTTTAGTTGGACAAGGCATCTGTCATCAAAGATTCAATCGACTACATGCAAGAGCTTATTGATCAAGAGAAGAGGCTAGAAGCAGAGATCAGAGAGCTAGAATCACGATCATTATTGCTAGAAAATCCGATAAGAGATTACGATTGCGCCAATAATTTTGCTGAAAATCAGCTGCAAGATTTCTCAGACAATAATGGCCTGAGATCAAAAAAGTTCAAGCATATGGGTTACGATACTAGAGTACAACACTACCCCATTGAAGTTCTCGAAGTACGTACTAAGCATTATTTGGTAGTACATTTAAAAATACATTTCTCTTTGGGTAAAGTTATTTATTCCAAATTGCTTTTTATAAAAAAACGAAAAAACAAAAACAGATGAAGGTGACATGGATGGGAGAGAAGACAGTAGTGGTATGCATAACATGTAGCAAGAAAAGAGAAACAATGTTGCAGCTTTGTAAAGTGTTGGAGTCTTTGAATCTCAACATTCTCACTACTAACTTCTCTTCCTTCACCTCTCGTCTCTCCACCACTCTCTTCCTCCAGGTCACACACTCTCTCTCTCTCTCTCAATTTTTTTTTGTTTTTATATCTTATTTGACAATGTGATTACTAGTACAAACTACAAGATTCTAAATGCATTTAGAGAAAAATATATGTGCCTTTATTTGGTTTGATGCTCATTTCGCAGTGATCGAGCGAAATTATAACATGTTAACGAAAAGATATGATAATATAGTTTAGAAGATTCTGCCTAATAAACAATTTTAGATTAATTGTAAGTAGCTATAAAAATTAGTTTTAGGCACATGTAGGACTATAAAACACACCAACCAAATATATTTGTCCATTTTTATTTTGTCGCAACTATTCAGACTTTTATATACCAAATTTAAATCTTACTATTTTCATTTCTTTTTGTTATTTTGGGAGAAAAATTGTCGTCTGACGGCACGTAGACAAATCCTCTAGTGGAAATCAATTAATTATATGAATAAAAATCATACTACTAAGTGCTTTAGTAAAGTGGATTGTTCTTTTTTTTTGGTTAAGGAAAAAATATGTTATCCTTAATTCATTATACAATAGTCCAACAATGTAAAATCACTATCAAATTTAAAAGGGCAACCTTTAGACGGACACATTTAATTACTACTTTGTTCCCACCTGTCTCCATTTAGTGGACCTTAATTCACATTACACCTTAAGTATTTATATTAATATCCTAATCAATCAATTAAAGCTCCAATTATTGAGGTGGCCTCGAGCCCATCATATTTTTTTCGATTTTCGCCTTGACTTTTTTTTGAGGGGGTTAGATTCTCTCAAAAGTTAAATGTCATATTCCATAAAAAATAGGATTAACAATCAAAAAATTAGTGTGTGAAATCTCAAGTGCCTCGTGTCCCATAAAGTGCCGTCCAAGCATAGTAGCACTAGAAAAACGTGGCTAATTTATAACCTCACGCGGTTCAACGTTTGGCTCTTTGACGCTTTTAGCACGTGACTTTTCCCTCACTACACTTTAGTTTAATTCTTTACTCACAATAAGCTAAAATAAAGTATAGCCAATTAGCAAGTTTTATCTGTTTTATATCCAGAAAATTTGTTGTTTATTTCAAATGAGATGATTTAAAACTAGAAGTATATGGTTCATAAGATCTCCACTCTTCATTATACTAATCATTATGGTACATTTTTATTTACTCCAAATGATATCCATAGAAGGTCTTCATAGTAGACATTAAGGTTTGATCCTTTATAATATAAGGCAGATTTGTTGAGAGTTATTATTTTTGCTATACTTTTAAAAAAATTCCTTTCATCATTTCTCTATCTATCTATTTTTTATATCATCAAATACTAGGACTTGGTGTAAAAAATCTAACTTTCTTGCCTAACAAATGAATACACTATTATGTTATTTTTCTTTGACAGAAACAAGATTTATGTAGTTTTTGCCCACCTTGATAACATTTTCTTAATAAAATTTAATATAATCAGACGCTAAAAATACAGTGAGGTGTAGACCAGACCAGTGGAGTCATGGAGAGTTGGTGAAATCATACTCCAATCATTTATCAAATAAAAAGTCGATCAATTCATTTTCAAACCTGTCTTTATCTGTCCTTTTAAAGATTATGCAAAAACATTAAACAATGATTTTATCCACGAAATGTCATTTTCCACCGGAAATAATTATAGTAGTAATGCTTGTAGGTGTATACGAATTTATCAGTTCTAGTTTTCTTATAACGATCGAGTTGCCAAAAAAAAAAAAGATTTTTGGTCCGATTGTGTAAAACCTAAACACCCCTAATTTCCATAATCTATACTGAGGTTGGAAAAATTCTTAAAATCCTAATTTAGTTTTAAATATATGAAAAGATATCGTATGAATTAACATATATCATTGTTTTTATCTGTGATGTATTTAATTGTGGTAAATCTTGAATTTGCAGGCGGATGAGGAAGAAAGAAGTGCAGTAGAGGCCAAGATACAAATGGCCATCGCAGCTTATAATGATCCAAATTGTCTTATCAACTTCTAATTTACTTAATCGTTTTATGATATATGTGAGGGTTTATTTGTTTGAGCTACAAAACATCCGTTGGTGTATTATAGTAACTTTTTTTTTAAAAAAGTAAGTTCATTCTAATAATCTCAAAACTTATATTTCTAAAAAAACCATTTAAAGAAGAAGAAGGTGAAGAAGGTGTCGTCTGTCGTGGATCTAATAAGGGTCGGAAGGAATTGTCCGTTGTAGAATCGTCTATGTAACAGTTCTCATAATTTGCAATAAATAATAAATCCAGACGTTAAAAAAAAAAAAACCATTTAAATTAATTGATAATATCCAAACTGAGCATTAAACACACAAAGTAAAAGGGTTAGAAAAGCAAATGTGACTTTCTAATTTAAAAGATTTTGTGGATATTTTGTCTTGATTGATGAACAGAAACCAAATGCACATTGTAAGTTGTAAATAGAGAGAGATTTGCGATTTGCTTCTATTTGATCTGTAAAGTTATAGGCAACAATTGTTTAGTAAACTCATAAAAGTGACAGTAGCTAGGCTTATTAAGGAGATATATTCAGAAAACACAGATTTGTAAACAAATATTTTCTTACCGCTATTTATTACCCATTCTAACCGCTTTCTCTATAACCGTCATTTTTATTTCTACTCCTTCTGTCCCAATATATAAGATGTTTTAGACGTTTTCATTTGTTCTATTATATAAGATTTTCTTTACTTTCAATACATGATTTATATTAGTTTAATAGGTTTTAATTATTTTAATTATGTAGTATTTTCTTCTATTAGTTGAATTTTCATAAATGAGAAAACATTTATTGATTGGTTCTTAATTTATGTGCTTTTAGTCCAAACATCTAATAAAATGGGACAGAGAGAGTATTACTTTGTAAAAATTATATAGTTACCAATCATACTCTCTTTGTTTTATTTTTAAAAACCTAAATCTTTCAACTTTATTATATTCTAAACCTAAAATTAAAAGCCAGTTATTTGGAAGAAGGAATGATAAAAAGAAAAGATCATAAAAAAACGAAATGTATTAAAAAGAGAGCTAAAGTTCCATTAAAAAAAAAATCCCCAGGTTTATTATTTTTATGGGATTTTATCTGAAGTTTAAATGACACATACAAACTGAAGAATACAAAAGCTACATTAGGTATTCTTAGACTAAGTTCCAAAAGAATCTAACAATACCAAAACTTCTGCAAAGGATTTTTTTTTCTAATATATATTGTTACCTTTTCTCCTTGATCTCTGCTATTGGAACATACACTACTGAGTCTTCTTCATTTAAAGAAGAAGAAGACTTGCCTAACTTTTTCCGGCCTTTCGGTGTTTTAAATCTCTCAAGCCTCTGCGTCACGTCCAGTAACTTGTTTTCTGTTCTACAAAGCATCTCCATTACTGCTTCAAATTCTTCCTCTTCCGTCATCTTTCTCTCCGTCTCCTTCTCCTCTACAGCTGTCTTTAAGCTTATTTCGTTGCTTAGCTCTTCATGTGACTGAACACAATAAGAACACATAACTTTTAAACTCTACAATTGTCCAAAACCACTGGTCAATGCAAGTTCATGGAAGCAGTACTTAATCATGAGTTCTTTAAAATAGATTTGTTCTATAAACTGATTTTGGCAAAACGGCTTATTTTAGTTTTACCTCTTCCGTCATCTTTCTCTCTGTCTCCTTCTCCTCTACAGCTGTCTTTAAGCTCGTTTCACTTCTTAGCTCTTCCTGTGGCTGAACACAATAAGAAAAATAACTTTAAAAATCTAAAATTGTTTACTTAATCGTGGTTTTAAATAATGAACATTTTGGCGAAACGGCTTATCTATATCTTACCACTTCCATCATCTTGCTCTCTGTCTCCTTCTCCTCTACCGCTGTCTTTAAGATCATTTCGCTGCTTAGCTCTTCATGTGGCTGAACACAATAAGAACAAATAACTTAGAAAATCTAAAATTGTTTAAAACCACTGGCAAGGGATCAAGGCAATTTTAACTTAAAAAATCTAAAATTGCTTACTTAATCATGGTTTTTTAATAATGGACATTTTGGCGAAACGGCTTAGTTATATCTTACCTCTTCCGTCATCTTGCTCTCTGTCTCCTTCTCCTCTACGGCCGTCTTTAAGCTCATTTCACTGCTTAGCTCTTCATGTGGCTAAACACAATAAAAATAAATAACTTAAAAATTTTAAAATTGTCCAAAACCACTGGTCAAGACAAGTTCTTGGAAGCAGTACTGATCTTTTAGTAATAGATATGTTCAATAAACTCATTTTGGAGAAATGGCTAATTTCTATCTTACCACTAAAGCGAAAGAAGAGTCGTTTTGTTCCAGATAATGTTGACTTTCATCTGTGGGTGAAGGAAAGGAGACATTGGCCTGTTGAATTTCCTCCTGGTTGTTAGTACAGGGAGAGAGAATTTTCTGATTTGTAGCGGAATCATTAAATCCAGGTGGAACTGTCATATCCAAAGTATCTTGAACTTCATTAGTTTCAGTGTTGTTCTCCATGACTGCTTCTGGTCCAGATTCTCCTCCAGAGACTGTCTTAGAATCCCCAGGTTGTTTCACGCTCCCAGTCTGTCATATAAAAACAATGGCCGCCAAATGATTAGTCTCCTTGTAAGAAGTTTAGTCTCTGAAGGCACCCAGACAATGTTCATATGTAGGAATGAAGCAAGTAATAGCGATTTACCTTCCTATTCCTTAGTGCCATATACCGTGTATTTTTGAACCATTTATTGACCTGTAAAAAACGATATTTAAGCACACGTAGAACCAAAAAAAAACTAAGAAACCCAAATGTTCATTAGCTGTATGAATGAGTTTCATGAGCCTCAATTGATCTGAGAAACATTAGCAAGATAACTTTTCTTTGGCTGCACTGTTACCTTCTCTGGATCAAGACTCAGCTCTTTTGAAAGACGATCCCTCACAGCTTTTGTAGGAAGCTCAGTCTCTGCAAATACTTGACGTAGCTTCTGGTACATTTATGCAAACAATTTAAAACTTAGTAATGGATGTTTTCTCTTCTTTTTTTTTCTTATGGTAAACTATACATATATAAGATACTAAAACCGGGAAGAAGTAATTGCAAACCTCAACTGCATATTTTGGGAGTCTGAACATCGGCCTTCGACCTCCTTTATTTTCCACAGAGACAGAATCTCGCTCACTCTGTTCCAGTGTTTCTACAACATCTTGATCTTTCTTACTGCTTTCACACATAGTTACAAGTGTGCTTCCTGCATCAGATTCCCTTTTTCTCTTCCTTCTGTCATTCGGACCCCAGTCTTCATCTTCACTACCTTGTTCTTGCAAAACTGCATCCTTTCCAAACATTTCCTGATACAAAAATAAAAAATCGAAAATTCACCACCAAAACAATCATCAATAACAAATTGAAGCAGATTAACATTTACGGGTTCTTGAAATCGATGGATGTGGTACGCACATAGTACAACTTTGTATAGTCAACAGTCCTTCGCTGTCTTGGCCCACATACAGTTTCTTCATTACTTGTTTCACATTGTTCCAACATATTGCTGAGTCTATGGCCTTCCCATGATCCCGTTGAAAGGGCAACACCATCAGAAGATAAGCTCAAACTGGTTGAAATGCTTTCACCATCATTATCACCACCACCATCATTATCACCACTACCATCACCACTAACGTTGCTGCTATTTCCTCCACCGGTTTCCCTCATTTCAGGGTCATAATCATCATCCTTGGAGTCATCCGAAGGCCAATCTGCTTCATTGTTAAGTGTAGCTTCAGATCCAATAGGAAGACTAGCTTCTTCATTGAAGATATCCTTATCCATAAACAAAAAAAAATAACCAAGGAAAGTTTCAAAACTAGAAGAGTAAAGCAGAGTAAAGCAGACTTCTGATGGTGAAGTGTTTCTATCTTGCGTTCAAACAAAATGAAACACAGTGGTACTTGCCAAAGGTTTACCTGCCAGTTGCTGTCCACAGGGAAATGGGTACCAATTTGCGCATTCATTGTGTCGATGATTTCCATTTTGCAATCACAAAATTTGCAAAACCAACCCAGATCTCCGGGAGGTACTGTTGATATTATTAAGAGCAATATGATTTGAGGAAAAAAAATCAGGTGGAGAAGCCACACTGTATAAACTCTCTATGACAACATATATGTATATGCAATAGATAGCCAGAGCTTACTGCTTTCTGTTTCCAAAGGAGGGTCAAGGCACTTCTGGTGAAATGCTCGATTACACGTTCCATCACAAAGTATTATATCATTGTCTGGAAAAGCTTCTCGAGAATTACATACCGCACAAAATATCTGCAGAAGGTAAAACCCCATCAGGCAATTCTCCAGTGTAATTTCCAGTATCGACCATAAAGATTTGAATTAAAAAAATAGAGATGGCGCGTGCAGATAAATAGAGATTTGCTTACATGGTCATGATGAATAGATCCATCTGGAGCTATCACTTTCTCTTCCATGCTTCCCACAGAACTAAGCAGATCCAGCTGGCGAATGGCGTCACGTAGTCCAAGCTTGCAGTTTAAGATCTGTTTCCGGGCTCTCTCAAGCTCCTTGTCTGGTCTTATCTTTTCCCGACTGAAAAACACATGGAAATACAAGAGTCAAACCACATAATTGTTTACAGCTAAAGAAGGCCACAATTGTTTTTTGCGTTCGCGTTTGCATTTGTTTTCACATTTCCATTTTAAATTTTACAAATGATGATTAGTATACTATAAGCAAGTAAACGCAAACGCAAACGCAAATGCAAAGTTCGTCTTTTTTACATTTGAATCAATCGTGGTCTAAGGAGAACATAGGAAACTACAAATTCAATTTGGAAACAGAGAAAAGGTTGAATACGCGTAAAACAAATCCGTGGACCGAACTATTGACAGCTATAAAACTAAATAAAACTCATTCGTAACGCATAATCACCATTCTTTTGGTAATATATCCGAGGAGATAGTAAAATTGTAACACTTTTTCCAAATAGAAACAGTGAGTCAATAGAGAAGAAATTCAAAATTTTGTACCTCTGACCTTTCCAACCTTCAGTTGCGTATGCATCGATAAGATTCTGCTGCATCTTCATCTTAATGAGCAAATACCTTGTCCGTCTCTGCAACCTTAACGAATCATCTACCTCAACCTTATTATCCTTTTGCTGTCTCTTACTT